GGTCACTTGACCTTTGAACATCCGTTAATTATTATTCTATGATTTCTGTTGAAAAATTAATAGTACGGGAACTAAGAAACTAATTTCTAACATCTGCTAAAAAATCAACATTAACATATCAATACAATTCAACATTTTCTTTATCCAAATAATGTTTATGTGCCTTCATGAAGTCCATGGATAAGTTCTGATACTTGCAAATATATTCCCAAGTAAAGGAGCAACACGTCAAACACGTTTGGCGTTTGACGTTTCACGTTTGACGTTTGACGTTTCTGCGTGACGTCAAGACGAATGACCTTTGGACTTTTGGACAAAAAAGTGCAGAATGAACCTTAGCGATTCCTTATGGGAATTAACATGGGGAATGAGGCAGAATCAGTGTTGCTCCTTTACTTTCCCAATTTAAGTTTTCTTTAAATTCGTCTATAAATTTTTCACTCAAAACTTGATATTTAGAAACAACATTGCAATTAACTCGATTTAAATAAGTTCTCATAAAATCCTCACTGAGTTTTTGATAACGACAAATTAAATCCCAATTTACTTCTTGTTGGAAGAAAATTATAAACTCCTCGGTTATAACAGGAGATTTAGAGATCTCATCCCATACTTTTCGGCAACTCATTTATAAAGAAAAAAAATTTAAAGAAAAATTTCTAGAAACATTAATCATTTCATTTCTAAGATTACAGTAATATCAGCTCCATTAAAATCAATTAATTCATCGTTTTCATCACATATTCTGAGTTCAATTTTGTAAATATTATTATACTGAATTGGATAATATACAAGGGTAGGTTCATAAATTATCAAATTGTTAAAATAAGAATTCAGTTTAAAACAAGAGATAATGTCGGTTTCTCTATGAATAAACTTACCACCTTCTACTAACATTCCATTAGAAAAATTACAATGAAAATTGAATGTTTCAACAGGAATAAATTTTCTACTTTATCTGTGTGAGTTTTACTTTTTTCATTTATTTTCTCTTTAAAACAAAGTTTACAATAAATATAAAAATTATCATATGATTTTTCTTCTTTACAACAACTACATTTTTTTACATAACTAATTCTTCTTCTATGAAAATCAGTATTTAAGTGTGTTTCTAACTGTTTTGCTAAAATTGTTCTATTACATTCACATTCTATTTTTTCTTTATTTTTGTTTTTTAATATATACCGCTCCTTCATAATTTTACTTACACAAGTTTTACAATTATATGTAATACCGTTTGGAAGTGTTTTAGTTTTATGAAAATCATCAAATGTTTTTTTTTTTCATAACAAATATTACACTTTCTTACTTTATTTAAGTTGTTTTCATGAAATTCCGTTTTCAAATGATATTGAAATGAATGTTTATTTGCTATTTTTTCACATTCACATTTTACTTTCTCAGCCATTTATATATAAAAAAAATTTAGTATATATTTTAGTATATAATTTTTTATATATAAATAATAACAAAAAAAAGATTTAAATATTTTCATAGAATTAAATTAGACAATTTAAAAATGGATCTTGTCAAAAAACTTAACAGACTCGCAATACTTCCAACTAAAAAAATAGATGAACTAACAATTGGTCAAGAATATAAAACATCAAATTTTAGAATCATTTCTACTAAATATATGGTAACAAAGCTGTTGTTACATTTTCTTACCTGACAGTTATAAAGATCTTATTAAAAAGAATTTAGAAAGTTGTAATTCATCTAATTTGTTATTTGTTTATAAAGGGAAAGAAGATAAATTAAATAAAATAGAATTTAGAGAATCTAATCATTAATATACCAATTCAGATCTCTAGTAACTTAATATTTTTTAATTACTTCCATTTATTAATTTTATAATTTTCATTTTTATGACGTCGCGTGATCTTTGAACTTGGTTTTAAAAAATTTGTTAAAATATAGATTTTTAAGTAATTCTGAATGTCGGCCATAAGTAACTGCTGTAAAATGTCACGAGTCGTTGATCTTGAAATATTGAAAAATTGTGGGAATGTTGAAGAATTGTAAAAAAATTGTTATAATATTCCTTCAGTTTCGTGACATATTGGCTGGTTTTTTAAAAAAAGGTGTGCTGTGCTGTAACGTACATATTCTATACTACTGCAATTGTTGTTCAATTAGTAGAGGATAGTTTTCAAATTTTTCTGTTATTAACGGATCAATCGCATTTTCCAGCATTTCAAGATAAATTTCGCCATTTAAATTACCAGGAATAAACAGAGATCCAATTAGGTGGTCTCCCAAAATTCCTACCCAAACGTTTAGCTTTTCCGCATATTGAGTGTGAGCTTCTCGAAATACATGAGGATTTGTATTGCTCTAAGTTCTACAGTTATGCCGGTTAACCTCTCCATTAAGTGAAAAAGTGCATTCGTCAGAAAAGCAAATGTACAAGAAATTTGGGTTATTGTTAATACGCTCGGCCATAATTTTGCAAAACTCTTGCCTTCGATCCAAATCATCATCATTTAATTCATGAATTAATTTAATTGTGTACGGATGTTTATGTAAAATTCTGAAAACGTTAGATTGGTCAATACCGGAAACTGCAGAAAGTTTTCAGAAAGATTGCGTGTTTGGCATAAGTTGGACATGGCCCAATACTGCCACAGCTGCTCCTTCATCATTCACAATTCCAATGGTTGCCCGTTTTTTATCCATTACTGAACCCGTCTCAACAAATTTTGAAATTAATTCCATTAGGCTACATTCAGAATGGTTTTGGATAAATATCCTTGCAGCTGCTCGGGCACCATTTTGATTTTGGTAATACAGGCTAACCAGCTCAACACGTTCTTGCAATGTGTACACCATAATTTATTTTTAAAATTGTAAGCAAATCAGCAAAGTAGTAACTCAACAGATTGATTTTTAATACATGAAACGATAGAAGAAACGTGATAAACACCTTCTAAGAACAAAAAATGAAGGCAAGATAAGATAATGTTTTGATTTTTTTTATTTATTAGTTCGAGAGAATTTATTATTGTATGGAAGTCAATGGAGGACAATTTGAACATTTGATTTAAAAACGCATTTTTGATTTTTTTTGATTGCAAGCATGATAAAACAATTTTTTTTAAGAATGTGACTTTTTTCATACACCGTTGTAAAGAGGCGTCCAAGACATTACAAATGAAGTATCACTCAACCCCTCTTCCCTATTCAATTTTGAGGGGGCGCCTCATAGGGGGTTGCTCATTCAAGCCTCAAATATACGTCAAAAGATGTCCCCCAAAGAAAATCATCCGACGTGTTTCGGGAAATTTTTCCAATTACTATGGGATAAGAAATATACGAGGTGGCTCGTCTGAGATGGAACAGCCTGTATAATAAACGCTGTATTTCGACTACAGCAACTACCTAGTATCTGGAAAGTCGCTGAAATTATGATACCCAAACCTGGAAAACCACCAAATGAAGTAAAGTCCTATAAACTTATATCTCTGTTACTAGAGTTATCTAAAATTTTTGAAAAACTTTTACTATAAATATTTAAACCACTGATAGACAGTAAAAATATAATAACTGACCACCAATATGGATTTAGGAATAAGCATTCCACTATTGACCAAGTCCATAGAATAACGAATGAAATAGAGGAAACACTGGAAGAAAAGAAGATCTGCACCTCGGTCTTTCTAGATGGAGCTCAGACTTTTGATAAAGTATGATTAGAGGGCCTTGAATATAAATTAAATAAACTTCTACCTAGGCAATATTGTGACATCTTAAAATCTTCCGAGCAAAACAAGACGAAGAATATTCCAAGCTTAATGAAACTAAAGCAGAGGTACCTCTAGGAAGTGTTCTGGGACCAGTTCTTTACCACCGACATACCACAAACGCAAAATGTCCTTGTGACCTTTTAAAGCTTAAAATGCTCTTTTTACGTCAAATGTCCTCTGTAATGACAATGTATTTTTTGACTGACAGCACATATTTTTGAAAGGGGCATGGTTTATACAAAAATATATAAGCTGAGGACCTTTTTTTTTATTTTGAGGCTGTTCTTTCGTTTTTAAGTTTACTAAAAGGATGAGGACTTTTGTATACCAGACCCTTGTCAGCATCGTAGTCCTTTTTTCAAAAAGGTGGCAACCCTAAAGTAGCCATATTTGTCGACGACACGCCCATACTTGCCATCGCTAAAACCATAGAAAAATCAATCAGAAAACTTCAACATGCAACCAATAAAATTTATGAGTGGACAAAAAGATGGCGCATTAAGCTCAAACGAAACTAAAACAGTTCGGATTAACTTCACTAATAAAAGATCAGTAGAATACTTACCAGTGACATTAAATAATACTGGAATATCATATTCTAATTCGGCTAAATACTTAGGCATGAACCTAGATATTAAATTAAAGTGAAAAGAACACATAAAGAAAAAACGGGAAGAGTTGGGTGTTAAATATAGAAAATTATACTCGTTGATAAATAGAAAATCAAAACTTTTAATCGAAAATAAACTTTTAATATATAAACAAGTACTGAAACCAATTTTGTAGGAAATAAAATTCTCTACAAAAAAGGACTCGTTTGATTTTTTCATAAAGTTCATATTTATGAAGATATTCTCAACAATAAACTCATAAAATCAAAATTTTCAGATTTTTTCTCAAATCCGTCTACTTTAAGAGATATTTTGAAAAAACTACGATTTTATGAAAAAATAAACTTTAATCCCCTGTATTTTTTTATCAAAAGGAAGGTCGGAATAAATTTAATTTTTAACGACCATTCTAATATACGTATTATGTTTAAATAAATTCCGATGTGACATTTTATTTTTTTTTGGGGCTGTTAGCGAAGAAGTAAAACTTAACAGTTTCAATCATACTATTCAGAGTAAGCAATGTTTGAGTTTCAAATACAGACAATCCCTATTTAAAAATAAAGTGAAAAGAGTAATCTTCAATAAGTATGAGTTTCAGGATGATTCGAATTTAAATAAAATTATATCGAAAGTAACTTACTTAAATGGCTCTGTTGGATGTTGAAGATCTTCTGGCAATAGAGGAAGTCTTTTATAAAAAAACTCCCAATCAAAAGCACCTCTAGCGCCTTCGTCTTGCGCTCTATATTCGAAAGTCTCATATTGAATAACATCGATAAAAGGGCATACGCAAGTTTTGTAATCTTGAGCAATGGGTTCTGAAAAAAAAAAATAATAATTACACTTGTTTTTAATAAACTTAGACATGAGAAATTAATTATTATATATAATAAATAAGATAAAATACAATTACCTAAAAGTGGAGGAAGCCAGTTAATATTAGCCTCTGTGTGAGAGTCCAAAAAAATTAAAATTTCTGCTGTAGCTGCTTTAGCACCTGCTATCCTAGCTCTAATGAGTCCACTTCTTTCTGGTAAATGTATAGCTCTCACTTTTGTTAAGTTGGCCGCCAAATAGTCGTCTAATGGTTTTTTACTGAAAGCTAGAAAAAGTATATTTAAATTTCAAACTGATGTAGTATTTTATATTTTTAAAATAATATACAGAATGTTCCATTCAAATAAAATTAGAAAACGCGACCTAAAATAGTACTGTTAATTATTTGGTATTTACATCAATGTCTTAACAAGAAAGATTCGTAAATCCTTTTGAAACTATTATTTTATTAAACTGAGAAGTCTTTCTTTGGGCAACGATCCCATTTTTGGTTGCACTTGTTTTGCATTTCGGCGTCGACATATTTGACAAAACCTTACAGTCTCCTTAACAACTGATCTAATTTTAAGGATATAGAAGTTTCTTCGAAGCATTTTTTGCGTACATATGTAATATCATTTTCTGCGTATATGGTGAGAATCATCAAAAACTACAGGATCTACAGATATTATAGACGTTTTCGTGTTTATTTTACTTGTTCTTCTTGAAATCTTTTGATTATATCGTCTTTGTCAAGATAAAGTCACTGTTTTGTAAGTCTACCAGTTGTATTTTGATAGCTTTTGTGGAAATTCTGTAAATCAATCTTAAAACAAGTACATTGTACTAGTTTCCACCGCTTGGTCTCAGCCCATTTAAGGAATTCACCAGAGAGGAATGGAGATTTTTTATTTGTAGGAACTTTTTTAATTCTAGCAGTTATTCGTAGTAATTTTATCCAACTTAGTTTTTAATTATTGGAAGAGTTTCTGACATACATACAATCTTTACTTCTACGGTTAAAAATTCTTCTTCACTTATGTCTATATCGTGAAAATTGTAACCAACTATCTTCTTTTTGGTAAAGAAACTTTGGGAAAGCCAGCAATCATTTATAGAACCCCTTGAGGTACTTTTTCATTTCCATTCATCAGCAGTCGTCGTTTCCAAAATTTCTGTCATTATAAAGCCATCTCAAAACGGTTTTGGAATCAGACCAAAAATATTTCCTTCAAACATTTTAACTTCAAGTTTTGTATAACTGTCTGTTATAAACGTGCCCCCATAACTGCAGCAAGTAGTTCTAATTTTGGAATTGTGAGTGTTTTAAAAGGAACAACACTCGCTCTGGAAGCAACTAAAGTTACTTGCATGTCATACACCATAAGAAAATAACTCGCTGAAGAATAAGCTTCTTCACTAGCATCTACAAATGTATGTAGCTCAATGAAAGAAGCATCGTCTAATAATCGAAGACAATAACATCTAGGGATTTCAATTTCCATTGCCTTTTTCAAATCTCGTAGCCAGATTGTCCATTTTTGAAACATTTTATCAGTAATTCCGTCGTTCCAAACAATTGCACTATGCCATATAGTTCGTAGAAGTATTCTGACTTTAATACTAATTGGAGACAATAAACCCAGTGGTTCATAAACAGACATTGCTGCTTTTTGTAGCAACTGACGATTCATCCAGAATATTTCTAGGAACTTTATTTAATTTAAGATTGAAATTAAAACTGTCTTTTTGTGAATCCCAGATCATGGCAAGGACACGTTCCTCGTTAGTTTTTGTTCACTTCTGTATTAACCTTCTCATAAAATTTCTTATTTCAAAACCTCCCTTATGACGTTATTTATAAGTATCATTGCTGCTTCTTCAGAATTTGCGCCATCAAGCTAGTCATCTACATAATAATTATTAATGACGGTGTCTTCTGCTTTTGGGTATTGATCTTCAAACTGTCTAGCATTGTAGCTTTTAACAAATTGAGCTAGAAAAGGTGATGAAGGATACCGAACAGCATAGCTTTCATTCGGTAAGTGTTTAAAGGAACATTTTTTATTTAAATTGCGTCATAAGAAACATTACGTGAAGGTGTCTTCATAATATATATAAATTCTGTTAAATATCTCCTTTATGTCCCCCGCAAATGCTATTTTATGAATGCGAAATCTTATAAGAACTCCGAAGAGTGGTGAGAGCATATCAGGACCCGTTAATATAAAGTCATTTAGAGAGCAACCATGACTCTCTGCTGCTGCATCAAAAACAACTCTTAATTTTCCTGGTTTATTTGGATTTTTCACTGGAAAATGCGGTAAATACAAAATTCTTTTTACTTCTTTAAGTTCTTTTTGACTGACAGGGATAGCATAAGTTTTTGGAGTTCTGCTATATAATGTTTACTTAATTGAGAATCTTTCGCCAATCGTCTTTCTAGATAAAAAAGTATTTGCACTACAATTTTGATTCTGGCAATTGTTGATCATTTTGTTTCCATGGAAGTTTAACCTCAAATTGGTCATTTACAAGTTTTATGGAATTTTCAGCAATAGCCAAGGCTCTTCTTCTTCTTTGGAATGCGTAAAGTTTCGTTTGGTTTGTACTACACCAAGACTTTCGAGCTTCATATATCATGTTACTATACCATGAAATTTTTCATCACATGGTTCGCAGCATACCACAACTCAGTGGTGGCTTGTCCTAAGGGGCCAAAGGGCCTTGGCACTGGCGCAAAATTTGTAAATATTTCGGTCTCTAAAATATTTCTTTTTATATTAATTACAATAATTATTACAACTGTCGGATCAAATTATGGCTAAACGATACATTATATAAATTATTTATTATTATTTAATTTCATCCCGTTAAAAAAACTTGCGTCGTATTATTCCTAGACACAGAAATTTAATAATTCAAGCAATTGACTGTCCGACGTCTATCCGAGCACATCGACCTGCTTACACATTCAAACAGGGCCACGTTTCAAGCGGCTCGGAATGAATAGTTAGAATAGTATTGTATCCATCGCGTGTTCTAAGAGTTCGGCGTATTGCTTTTTACATTTTATGCGTGCTGATTTTTTGTTTCTTAGAATAGTTGACTTTTTATGGCTTCCACCTCGGCTTCCACCTCAAGTTCGCCGAACTTCAAAGGCTGGATAAGAAAGTTTAACCGGAATTTGTACTTATTCGACTTAGAGACAAAATATTACCCACAATAAACAAGTTGATAAAAACAGATATGTTTTAAACATCATTATTAACTGTATTAGATTTTGTGGTGCATTAGAATAGAAATAAAGGAGTGTTCCGAGAATTGATAGATTTTAGTTTTGAATTAGATGCAGATTTAAAGGAACATTTCAACAAAGCAACATCATTTAAAGGGACTTCTAAGACCAGACAGAACGAACTATTGGAGTGCATACTTGGCGTTTACCATGAAGAAGTGGCTAAAGAAATAAAAAAACAAATTATGTAGCTCCACCTATGTGCTAAGGCATAAGCCGCCACTGCCATAAATACTTCTTTTTGGTAGCCAATTTGATCATTGCTTGTTGATCCTACGTGTACCCATGTAATGTCCGGCCGATTGTTGTTTTGGATAGAATAGGTCCATTTAAATACGATTGAATAATCTGCCGCAAAATAATAAGATGTGCGTTATTCTGGCCTATTGACAAAATGGGTTGGGCTCTATCCTCTAGATTCACAGCTATATTTTGTATAAAGGGGAATCTTAAGAGGAGTATTTACTTGGCTTTAGAGCAGAGCATGCAAGGGTTTCGTAGTACCCCCACTTTTAAAGTTTATTTTTGACATATTTTAAAAGAAAAAAATATGTGCGTGTAGGTAAAGGTTAAATCTGTGCTCCTCTGGAAACACATTTTCAAAATTTCAATTTGTTTTTTCTAAAAAAAAAATCACAAAAATCACAAAAAAAGTGGTTCCAGAGGAGCATAGATTTAACCTTTAAATACACGTACATATTTTTTCCTTTTAAAAATACTTAAAAATAAACTTTAAAAGTGGGGTACTACGAAACCCTTACATTGCAAGATTTTTCGTCTGGCAAGTGGCGCCTCTGTTAGATTTTTAAGAAATTAATATTTGTGAATGAAAACAATTTACAAAATATTTTACTGATGTTTTACGAGGGATAATTAAAGTTTACGTATTTGTAGGTACACCTTATTGTTTTACGTAAATCATTTCCGTAATACTAATATAGACATATTTATATAATATGCAATGAGTTTCATAGTACACCAATTTTACGGATTATTTTTAAGTTTTTGAAAAATTATGTAAGTACAGGTAAAGGAGTCACTTTTTAAACATTTGAATCGGTTTATTTTGAGAAAATGTAAGAAAAAAAAAATACAAATAAAAATGCTAGAAGAGAACAATATATGTTTTTAATTTTTACAGGAACATTTATTTTTCTCAATAAAAATTTAAAAAATACGTTAAAAGCTTTTTCGTCTAGAGGGCGACACCTTTTCTACTGTTTACAAGTGATAAACGTACGCAAGTGATTTGAATTTATTTTGTTTTATGTCTGTACACTTTGTTATTTTTACATACAGTAATTTCGCTCAATTATTTTAAATTAATTTTATCATTTATTTATTAAAAAAATATATCCGAAATTAAAAGGTATACAATGAGATTTGATTATAAATTAACTTTTATATTGCACGGGAATTTTTTTTAATGAATACATCTTCGAGTTAAGAATAATGAATTCCAGCATGTTAACAAATCTTTAAGCTGTTAAAGTAATGTATATTTTTCGAACTTAGTAAATTATTTTTTTTGCTTTCGAGCGTGGCTTTGATCTCTCACACTTTTTGATGCGCGTTGCAAAAGAATATTTTCTAAAAAGTTTGATAATGTCTATAGATGAGAAAAAAATGAATGTGACAAGAGATCAAGCTGATTGTGGATTGTAGCAAAATGAAAGACGAAAACGAGTCACTGTTTCAAAATTTGGAGACATTTATTAAAAAAAGGAAGGCATTATTTAAACAATCTCATAAAATCTTCTATTTTTTGCTAAAGCCTTTTAATATGACATGGACAATAAATCCAGAGCAAAATAAGATTTGGAAATTTATTAGCAAGAAAAATTTTTTATATGTGGACTTTTATTGATTCCGAATTTGATTATGTTCCTGCCAGTCCAGATGGAATTTAAAACAAAAAACTCTATGATAGAGTTAAAATGTCCATAAGAAGCTAGAGTGTTGACTGAAGAAAAAGGAATATGCAGTAG